TGCGAAGTTGCCTCCACTTTCGTGAGCTCCTGGGAAGCTTCGTCAGAGACTTCTTACGCAGATTCAGATTAGATCACGTCGTCCCTTGGGAGTTGCGAACTGCGCAACGGTGGCCACTTTGATGGGCCGCGTTGTGCGATCCAGCGTAGTGCGTCGCTGCCCAGAACGGGAAGAATGAGATGGAAGAGGAGGGGGAGGGGGAGGAGGAGGGAGGAGCCGCGATGACTTTTCGCTCCCCTCCTTATCCTCCTTCTTCTCAAAGTTCCTTCCACCTTCGCTTGCAAGCCTTGGCCCTGACTGCCTCAACTCCGTTCTCGTCGTTTTAGCCATGTCCTGTGAGTCATTCCACGCCCGAGCCTTCTTTTAATTTTCACAACAAGTTGTTGTTCGGGTCATTTGTTGTAGATGGGTCGAGCACGCCGTTAGGATAGTGCTGGTATCCTTTGCTATGCAACTCCATGCAATGTCCTGTTCCGCTATGCCATGTTACGATGTCCTGTGATATGTCACGACATGCTATGCACTGCTCTGTGGTGCAACGAGGCGCGGTTATGCGTTGCTACGCTATTCTGCAATATGTTGTGCAATGCTACGCCATGCTATGTTGTATTCTTCGCTGCTACGCAATGCTATACAATGCAATGCTATGCTGTGATTCTGCATTGTACTACGTGCCACCTCGTGCGGTACCAGGCTGCGATATGCCATGTTAGCTTGGACTCAATGTGATATTAACTCATGGCGTGATATGTGTTGCTACGTTACGCTATGCGTTGCTGTGCTATCCAACGCAATTGTATGGCACGCGCTCCGACGCAATGCAATTCGCGAAACGCTTGGCCATACTATGCTATGCGCTGCTACGCTGTGGTTTGATATGCCACGTTATGCTTTTCAGCGCAATATACTGATACGCAATGACATGCCGCATTTTGATGTGCAATGGGACGCTAGTCTAAGCAACGCTTATCAGGTATATCAAATGAGTTGCCTACACTTTGCTATGTACATCCATGCGATGCTACGAAAGATGGATCAAGTAATGCCACGATATGCAGTAATGATTTTATATCCTATACACTGGCACTGTTCCATGCTTGGTAATGCTGTGTCATGTCATTCGCTGGCCCATTCGGGGCCATCAGGCTGCGACGTGTAGGTGTCCCTGCTCTCTCCAGCGGTTCCAGTTCCCAATGTCATAGATGGGTATCGAGTCTCATTGTTCTAGTTCCAAAGTGGTAATGATTGAAATCTGCGCGAGGGGAGGAGGGAGCCCGAAAACCGCCTAGTTTCCCTCTCGGAGCCACGTTGCCGGAATTTAGGGGGGCCCTGGAACATCGGACATGTAGACGACAGACTCACTTCCCCGAAGCCACATTTGTAACTTACTACGCGTTGGCACTCCCGAGGCCGCACCCCCTCGTACATTTCGACAGGTTCGCTTTCCCCAGCTACAATCCTGGATCAATCATCCAAGGTTCGCGCCCCCGAGGCACAAGTCCTTTACACATTACAACAGATTCGCGTTTCCGAGGCCCTCACCATCCGTAAACTACGACAGAATCGCCTCCCCGAAGCCACACCGCCACTGAAAGTATTGCGCTTGGGCGCTCCTCAGACCACAATCAGTGGTCAATTGCGCCCGGTTCGCGCTCTCTCCCCAGGCCACGATCCTTTTCAATTGAAATTGCTCCAGATTCGCGCTCCCGAGGCGCACCCCCTGGTAAAGTAAGATGAGATTTCGTCCCCGAAGGCACAACCGTTTGCACATTGCTACGCGTTGGCGCTCCCGAGGCCGCAATCTTATAATTTATCCCAGGCTCGCGCTCCCACACCATGCTCCCTCATACTTTACTCCATGCTCGCGCTCCCGAGGCCCCACATTTTTGTAACATACTACGAGTTTGCGCTCTCGAGACCACAATCCCTGGCACGTTACACCCGACCCGCGCTCCCCAAGCCAATTTCCGTCCCGAGGCCCTATCACCTTCTAAGCTACGACAAGCTTGCGTCCCGAAGCTAGAACCCCTTTTGAGGTTCTACGTGTTGGCGCTCCCGAGGTCACAAACCTTGTAATGTAACCTACGCCATGCTCGCGCTCCGCAAGCTGCAATCCCGTGTGCATTACACCAGGTGTGCACCACCGAGGTACACATCTTTAGTACATCGCGTCCCGCCTGCGCCCCCGAAGTCACAGTTGCTTGTACTTTACACCGAATGCTGTCTCCCGATGCCAGGAACCCACCCCGCGGAGGCTGCTCAAAAGTGCCACCCCATTTTCCGAAGCAGAAACATTGTCATGTTCGGTATTTGGATATGAGATCGGGCGGCCCTGCTAGGCCCCCCCGTCCTTCCCTGAGAATTCGGGTCGGGGCTCGAGGCCAGCAGTCCTCGTTTTCAAAATGGTTAGGGGTGTGCGTTCCCGAAGCCTCGAACTCACACAAATTACAATGAGGGCGCGCTCCCGAGGCCGCCCCCCCAGTGATTAGTATAGACGCGCGCGACTAGTCAGCTAGCAAATAGCCATCACACGTTGCTAATTGCCAGTGTAGATAATACGCCAATCAGCCGAGTTGCCAGCCAGGCAACCGACACGTGAAGCATCCAACCTACCGGCTAGGCGTGGTCATGCAAGCAATCTGAGGGAGGGGCCGGCGGCAACGGGCGAAGCCATTCAGATATTCTGTTTTGCCACCACATGCGTGGATATGCAGTGACATGCGACGACATGCTACGCCATGTGACGCTATGCGGCGCATTGCTATGCGATATCGTGTTGTGCTACGTCACGCTACGCTATGCTATGGTTTCCCATGCTGCACACTGCCAGTATGCTATGTCAGGCTAGGTGCCTCTATGCAATGCGATGCTATAGCATACTATGACCTGAGTTGTGTTGCTGTGCGTTGCATACGCTTGCGGTGTACTGCGTTCGCACGCCTTCATGAATTTAATGTACCATTGAGTATTTTCGAGATGGGTCCGCTCATGATCTTGCTGATACCAAGCTGGGGATCCAGGCGCTGAAGCGGCGCAGGGCGTCAGATAGTAAAGCAGCAGCAACCTTCAGAGATGGCATCTAAGCGTGGACCAATGTCTTCAAGACGATTCTTAACAATATATGTGATTGAGGCGTCGGGTGCCTGGAGCGGTTCAGTCTCATGCATCTTTTTGACGCTCGTATTGTTTGGGGATGACGTGCGATAGAGCTAGACATGCAGATCAGTGCGCATGTTTGAGCTGTCTGTTTCGGCGGCGTTGGACATCGATTCTGGAGAGTCCGCTGTGGAATTCGTTGACGAAGTGGGGGTCGTCCCCGAACATTTGGCAGGTCGCCGACAATCTGCTGCTGGTCACAGACGCACATCTGCAAACGCAGTTTGCGCATGAACCTTTTGCGGGCTGTGCGGCACCCCCACCAGCGTGTAAAGTTGCAGGTGTTTTTGGTCAAGTCCCTCTAGCTGTCTGCGCCGTCTTAGTCGGAGGTTGGGGGGGTGAGATCGCAGTGGAGCGGAGACCCCCAACCGGGAAATCGTTTCGTTGCGTTCGTGTCTTTTGTGCTGGCGAGGCGACGCTGCGTGGGCGCGCGAGAGGAATGAACCCGCCGTTGCTAGGGCGAAGTCAGGACAAATGATTCTCCCTCTCCCGCCCGTCTGGCGGTGTCCCGCGGTGTCCCGTGGGGTCCCGTGGTGTCCCGTGGTGTCCGCCGTTGCTAGGGCGAAGTCAAGACAAATGATTCTCCACCTCCCGCCCGTCTGGCGGTGGCTCGCGGTGTCCCGCGGTGTCCCGTGGTGTCCCGTGGTGTCCGCCGTTGCTGGGGCGAAGTCAAGACAAATGCTTCTCCCCCGCCCGCCCGTCCGTCCGTCCGTCTGGCGGTGGCTCGCGGTGTCCCGCGGTGTCCCGTGGTGTCCCGTAGTGTCTTGTGGTGTCCCGTTGAGTGAGATCGATAGTGAGATCGATACTGAGATCGATACCGAGATCGATGTGGTGCCCCGAGGTGTCCCGTGGTGTCCCGTGGTGTCCCAATAGTGAGATCGATAGTGAGATCGATTCTGAGATCGATGTGGTGTCCCGAGGTGTCCCGAGGTGTCCCGTGGTGTCCTATGGTGTTCCGTTGAGTGAGATCGATACTGAGATCGATAGTGAGACCGATAGTGAGATCGAGAGGTGTCCCGAGGTGTCCCGTGGTGTCCCGTGTTGGCCTGTGGTGTCCCGTGGTGTCCCGTTGAGTGAGATTGACAGTGAGATCGATAGTGAGATCGACAAGTGTCCCGTGGTGTCCCGTGGTGTCCCGTGGTGTCCCGTTGAGTGAGATCGATAGTGAGATCGATTGAGTCAGATGTTGGTTCCCCCCTCTCCTCCCTTACAACCTCCTTATCACCCGAAGGGTGGTCGTATAGATACTATGCTTGCTAAGACGCCCGCAATGCAGGTGTAAACAATATCCAGCTACTTCGAACAAGCTCCGCCACCGTGCCAGCGCAGCGTCGACAGATGCAGGATGATGCTTCTACCAAGCTCTCCCGAAACGGCTCGTTGTCGCAATATTTGTGTTGGCGAACAGCGTTGCGCTATGGTAGTGCGGCGAGGACTTGCAGTTGTATTACCACGAGTTTCTTCGAGGCCGGTTGGAGGTTTCAGTGGGCTTTCTCGGAAGTTTTTTTTGTGATTTCGGGGGTGGGGTCTTGTGTGCGTGTTTGGGGTATGGGGTGTTGCGGCCGCCTTGGGTGCGATGATCTTAGAGACCACTAGTCCAGTCGGCCCTTGGGGCCGTCTCGGAGCACTCTTGGGGTGGTCTTGGGTCGGGTTGTCTTTCCTGGGTCCTGCGGCGCCGTCCTGCGGCGCGCGTTCCTGGCGCCGCCTGGGCCTTCTCTCCTTGCCTCCCTCTTGGCTTTGCCCTGATGACGAGAATGATGACGATAATGACGACGCTGACGACGATAACGACGAGCGTGACGACAGTAATGACGACCAGAATGACGAGACTGACGAGCATGATCCCTGGCCACGCCGCGCGGTTGGCGGGCAGCGGGGCGTGGTGGGGCCATGGCGTTGACGGCTGCCGTGGCCGTGCAGCCGTGCGCGCTGTCCGCGCAGAGGCAGGGCCGCCGCTCCCCGTCGCGGCAGGGGCCAGGGCCTCGCCGAAGGGTGTCGTCGCGTCGTCGCCCGCTCGTGCAGTGCTTCCAGGGGGAGGGGTGGGGTGGTGCTGCGGGGAGGACGAGGGGGGTCGGGGAGCGGGGAAGGAAGGGGAGGGCGAGACCGCAGGAGGAGGAGGAGGAGGAGGAGGAGGAGGAGGAGGAGAGGAAGGAGGAGGAGGAGGGGAAGGATGAGGAGGAGGAGAAGGAGGAGGAGGAGGATACGGATGAGGCAGTTGATGAGGATGATGATGGTTATGATTTCGATGATGATTTCGATGATGCTGATGGTGATTGTTTCGATTGTGAGGACCCTTCCCCAGGTCAAGGCGCGGACGGCCCGGTTCACGCGCACGCGGCCTGGATGAGCCATTGGGGGTGCTTCCACTACCACGTGAGCAGGGGCTTCCTCGAAGTGCTGCCGTCCGCCGCGGCCAAGGGCACCCCCACGGTCCTGCTGACAATGGACCAACTGGAGGGGGTGATTTTCGGATGGGAGGAGGAGAGGATGGCCTGCGTTCTGGCGCTGAGCTGGATCAGTGAAGCGGGGCCCCCCCGAGGAGGACAAGCACAGGGGGAAGACGCTTCTTGGGGACGGCGCGTGGGGTTCCGCACCCAGGCAACGACTCGGACGGCGCGAGTCTGGGCAGGGGCCATCACCGCATTCGGAGGGCAGGGATCAACCCCCGGCCAGAGCTGAGTGACGAGGGGGATGAGGGGCGCCCCTGCGGCTCAGCATTCATGCGCACTTGGGTGCCGAAGGGGCTGATCGTCCGCTGGGAGGTGTCCGAGGACGCCATCCGCGTGAAGGACGCCTTCGGCCCTACCGAGGAAGTCCTATCCGAGCGCCTGCGGAAATATGCGGAGCGGGATATCGGGGAACGTCATTGGAAAACACCCCACCCCAGGTTGCATAACTGGCCGCGAATACAGACATTCGTGAGAGGGGATTGCACGGGATGAGGGCTTGGGGATTTGCTACCAGTCCCAGACGATGCTCGCTGTGGATCGGGATAAGGGGATGTGTTTCAGGGTGCGCCAGGGAAACCCCTGGGCGGATTTAAGTTGAGCCGGGATCGAACCCCGTTTTTTTTGCGGATGCGCCCGCCGGAGGGGCGGTGCGCGCCCCAAACACAGATTTGTGCGCGCAGCATAGCGCCTGCCAGTACCCGTGGAATGCGGGGCTCAGCTCCGCGGAATGACGCGGGCGCCCGGGGACAGTCGGTGCGCCCCGCGAATGCCTTCGTGAGCTTGGGCCCTCATGAAGGGTTTATTTTTGCTTAGGAATGGACGGGTGGAGGGGCCCTTGCGGGCCGTGTGGGCGGGGGTCCAAGACGGACTCTTCCAATTGCCCCGCCACAGAATGAGGCGGGCCTCCTCCTTCTTCCAAGTCGTGAGTGGGCCCTCGGGCAGGATTGATGATGATTTCGACACCGATGATGCTGATGCTGATGATGACGATGTTGTTGATGATGATGGTGAGGGTTCGGGTAAGGGTGGGGGTGATGATTAGAGATGGTCATGCTGCTGGTGATGACGAAGATCACAGCCAGGACGACGAGGGCGCCGAAGATGATGATAGTGATGAAGATGGCGCTGCTGCTGTTGATGATGATGAGGAGGAGAAGGGGGAGGAAAAGGGTGACGATGATGAGGACGCGGATGAGGATGCGGATGGTGATGACGATGCTGCTGATGGTTATGGTACTGATGATGCGGATGATCGTGGTCGTGATGATGACGGAGACGACCACGACCACGACGACCACGACGACGACGATATCGATCACGAACATAATGATGATGAGGATGCCGATGACGACGGTGATGATGCTGATGATGATTATGACGCTGGTGGTGGTGACGTGGATGATGATGAGAATGATGGGGCAATGGTGATGATGGTGATGATGGTGCTGGTGATGGTGGTAATGACGATGATGATGACGATGGTGATGACGATGATGATGAGGTTGTTGTTGGTGGTGAAGATGGTGATGATGATGATGATGCTGCTGATGATGATGATGATGATGATGATAATGATGATGATGATGATCACGATGTTGGTGATTTCGAAGATGATGCTGATGTTGATGTTGTTGATGCTTGTGAGTAGATTCATGCTGCTGATGGTGACGGCGACGACCACGATCAGGACGACGACGAAGATGGCGATGAAACGTATGGCACTGATGACGGCGTTGATGACGATGGTGCGAAAGAGGAGGAATATGAGGAGGAGGACGATATGCCGAGGACGAGATGTTGATGATGATGAGGATGACGAGTGATGATCATGATGCTGCTGTTGGTACCGTTGCTGGTGATGATGTTGACGGTGACGATGATGGTGGCGATGTTGACGCTGCTGCTGATTATGGTGATGATGATGGGACTGGCTACGTTGATGCGGCTGCTGATTGTTGTGATAATGAAGCTCATGATGATACACACGATGATGAATATGATAACGGTGATGATGTTGATGGTGATGATGGTGTTGATGGTGATGATGATGGTGGTGATGATGATGATGCCGATGGTACTGACTACGCTGATGCGGCTGATGATGGTGGTGTTGATGATAGTAGTCATGGTGCTGGTGATGTTGATGATGATGAAAGTCATGATCGTGATGTTGCTGATATTGTTGTTGATGTTGCTCTTACTGCTGCTTGCCACGACGATGTTGTTGTCGGTGATGGTGATGGTAATGTTGATGATGCTGATAACGAAGGCGATGCTGTTAAGGAATACGATGATCATACTGATTATGCTGATGCGGCTGCTGCTGATGATGCTGGCGATGATGACGACGACGACGAGGACGACGACGACGACGACGATCACCACTGTTGCCACGACGACGATTAGGTGTAGGAGGAGGGGGAGGCCGAGGAGGTGGAGGAGGAGAAAGACGAGGAGAAGGAGGAGCAGACGGAGAAGGAGGAGGAGGAGGAACATAATGATAAGAAGGAGCAAGAGGTGGGGGCGGAAATGTAGAGAGAGAGAGAGAGAGAGAGAGAGAGAGAGAGACAGACAGAGGGCGAGCGGCGCGGGAAAAACGGGAGCAGGATCAACAGGTGGAGCGGGGATCGGCGGGCGTGGGAACATTGCAGCCGAGACAGTTGGTTGCTTTCAACACATGTGACGAATCAATGGGGGCAGAAGGGCTCGGGGCGAGGTGGCGGAGCAGTATCGACTGGGCTGGGGGACCTGCTGCGTAAACAGAGTGTGGACATGCCAGCTCGAGCATGTGGGCACGGGGGAATCCGAGCGGAACGCTTTGGGCGGGGCCTCAAAGGAGTTTGCGAATGGACGGGTACGGTCGTATCGGGGGTTTGGGGGGCGAGGGGGGCGCGTGGCAAAATGGAAGCAGAATGCAAAGCACGAGGGGGTCCCTAAACTATTTGCGAAACTATGGGGGTAGAGGGGTCTTGGTCGGGGCGAGGTGGGGGGCGTGGGGCAAATGGGAGCAACAGGAGCATAATCAGCGGGGTGGAGGGCCTCAGAGTCAAGTTGCGAATAGGTTGGTGTGGATGTGTCGGGGATCGGGGCAAGATGGAGGGCACACGCGATCGGGTGAGACCTTTTCTTGGTCGGACAAGGATTTGTCGGTTCTCCCCCTCTGTAGCCCACAGCGCGTTGAGGCCACCCGAACCCTTCGACGAAGCACATTCCTTGCACAACTAGGGGCCCTGCGTCAAGCCGCTGTGAGCAGCGACCTCGGTATGGCCTCGATGCTGGTCGCATCTCGTTGAGGCCGTCGTCGCGGCCAGCATGGCGGCATGGGCATCTGAGGGTACCACGGCCGACGCGCGTGAGGCCCGTTTGGCCTGAGGGATCCTCCTGCCTGGCCGGCGTCGGGCAGAACGGCCTTGAGGAAGACGATGACGTTGTTGATGATGATGTTGCTGTTGTTGATGATGGTGTTGTTGATGATGGTGTTGTTGGTGATGCTGGTGATGGTGTTGCTAATGATGGTGATGATGATGATGATGATGATCATGATGATGATGATGATGGTGATGATGATGATGATGATGATGATGATGATGTTGGTGGCGATGGTGACGATGCTGATGATGATGATGATGTTGAGTGATGTGGCTGATGATGATGGTACTGATGATACGGGTGATGATGGTGATGATGATGGGTATGATGGTGACGATGCCGATGATAATCATACTATTAATGATGGTAATGCTGCAAATGATGTAGATGACGCTGATAATTATGGTGGTGCTGATGATGATGTTGCTGCTGGTGATGATGACGACTGCGAGTATGATGATGATTGTGATGCTGCTGCTGCTGATGATGCTGATGTTGATGAGGTTGGTGACCACGAGAATGATGTCAATGATGATGCTGACGATAATGGTGATGATGATAACGGTGCTGATAATATGTTTATGATGCTGGTGTTCGGATGCCTAGGGCCAGCGCCCTGTTTCGGATATGCCCTGGAACTTAAATGAGTTTCGGGTTTGATCTAGAGGTGGAATTTAAGAAGAGAGAAACACCAGAGGTGATCCAGAACTCTTTCTGTAGTCCATCGTGGTTCAAAAGATAGATAGATGGTAGCGGAACTGGACTACCTTCAGCTCCCAGTCCCGCCACTCCTCACACCCGCGCGCCAGCGCGCGCGAGATCCGCGCTACTGGCGGGACGACAAACCGAGACGAAGGAGTTCGGGACTACGAGCTCCGCGACAGACACCCACGAGCGTTGGACTCAGGTGGGCGTCGAGGACGACTGGCAACGGACTGTGCTCAAGTTGATTCGGTTCAGCCGACTGTAGGGATACTGGCACGAGTTCGGGCAGTACTTGAACTACGTGAAGAATCACAGGAGAGCTGAGTGGTTCGGTCTTCGAGATGGCGCTCAACCAAGAGACGTTCAACGAGATGTGCGACGCAGTGCAACAGGCTCGACATGACATGCACGATCTACGG